CCTACAACAAATCTTGGACGAGGTTGCCACAGAGAGTCAAATATGGGGCTTACGAATTAATAAAAAGAAAACAAAGGTTATGAAGGTCAGCCGAACTACAAGCGAAATAACAATCAAGCTGGGCAGCGAAAAATTGGAACAAGTACACCGATTTAAATACCTTGGTGTAATCATTGACGATCAGTTGAACCATGAAGTCGAAATCAAGAGCAGAATTGAACAAGCAAGGCAAGCATTTATTAAATGGAAAACACTCCTTGCAGACCGCAACTTGAGTATATCACTGAAACTGCGCACACTGAAATGCTACATCTGGTCAATTTTGCTGTACGGAGTAGAGACGTGGACACTGACAACAACAGCAACAAAAAGGCTCGAAGCTTTCGAAATGTGGCTGTATCGAAGGATGCTGAAAATCCCATGGACAGCCAAAACCACCAATACACAAGTTCTGCAAGATATGGGCACTGACAGGCAACTGCTGACGACCATCATTAGCAGGAAGTGTTACTACCTAGGCCACATTGCCCGAAACGACCACAAATACCAGCTATTAAAGCAAATCCTGGAAGGAAAAATCGAAGGGAAAAAACGACCAGGACGGTCAAAAACGACATGGCTCAGTAACATCAAAACATGGCTACAATTAACAACAGCACAAACTCTACACGCCGTGCTAGACCGGGACCAATATCATCGTGAAGTCGCACACGCCGTTAGGCAGCACTAAAGAAGAAGAAGATCTTCAAAATTCAGTTTTGAATCCAGGATGACCCCAAGATACTTATAGATCTTGACTTGCTCTATTTGATCATTATTTAAGGTATGTAATTGGGGAAAAATAACTTCCCGCTTTAGTCCTGGTGAGAAGCATAGCACCTTGGTTTTGGCAGAATTTAGGACTAGTTTAAGAGCAATTAGCTGATGTTGTAGTTTGTTGAAATCACTCTGGAGCTTAGCAATCACGTCATCCGGAGAGCGGCCAGCAGTAATTAGTACCGTGTCATCTGCAAAAAGATTTACCCTGGAATAATCCAGTTCAGTGCCCAAATCATTTACATAAAGAGAGAACAAGAGGAGGCCGAGAATGGAACCCTGTGGAACCCCTTTTGTTATCTTAACACTGTTTGACCTCCAACCCTCTGTGAATACAGTTTGGGTGCGAGAAAAGAGGTAATTTTTTAACCATTTTACTGTGTTTTCGGAAAAACCGAGGCAACTTATTTTACTAAGCAGGATGTTGTGGTCTACTGTATCAAAAGCTTTGGACAAGTCAAGAAAAAAACAGGCGCAGTACTGCTTATTATCAAGGCTACTGTAAATGTGATTCAGAGAGTCTAATGCAGCAGATGTGGTGCTGTATTTTTTTCGGAACCCAGATTGTTTTAGATGTAATAGATTGTTGGCGGACAGGAAACTGCTAATTTGGTAGGTCAATAATTTTTCAAAAATTTTCATCAACGGGGACAAAATTTAGATAGGTCGGTAGTTATTTGGATCATCTTTAGGGCCCCCTTTGTGAAGTGGACGAACATAGGAATGTTTCCATTCTAGAGGAACTGATGCTTCTTTGATGGACAGGTTGAAAATATGGGCTATAGGTTTGTATATTAGGTGACCAACACTTAGTAGAGCAAAGACGGGAATACTATCTGCTCCGGTAGAGGAGGACCCTTTTAGGCAGGACAGTTGTTTCAGAACATTACTTTCGTGGATTGGCTGAAAACTAAATTCGCTTAATGTTTGGATAGGGGTGTAGGAATTTGCATGAGCAGGGGTGACTCCCAATACATTATCAAATAGGGTATCAGCTTCAGAAAAATGAAGGTTTAAATTGTCAACTATTTTTTGGGGATCTGAAAAATATTCCCCATTTCGGTTAAGCTGAACGGGCATATGATCTGTTTTGGATGCCTTTTCGATACATTTGATTGTTTTCCAGAAAATCCTGGCATTTCCATGAGATTCAAGGAGAGTGGAAGAGAAGTAGTTATTTTTTGCATGCCGTATTTTTTTGACACATCTATTCCTTAAAATTCTGTATTCTAGCCAGTCATTGACCAAATTACTTTTCTGAGCACATGCCCAAGCCTTGTCCCTAGTTTTCATGAGCTTTGTAATCAAATGATCAAATTATGGTGGACGGTTGCCTTTAGTTTTAAATTTAACCAACGGAGCATGTTTGTTAAGAATTTGGAGAAACGTGTACCTGAAGGTCTCCCAAGCCGTAGTCAGGTTTGTAATATCACAGACCTTGTCAATATCCGAGTGAAGCACATCATTAGTAAATGCCTGAGTGCTGAAGTGTCTCATGGAGTGCTTCTCAACCAATTTAGGGGGGGCTTTGGGTCTGGCTGATGATCTCACCCCAAAAATGAAGGAGTGATCACTAAGGTTATTACCTAGAACACCAGTCAGTGCGAAATTGTGAGGGGCATTTGTCAATAGGACGTCAAGCAGAGATTACTGTCCCGGATTTTTTAGGTTGGGTCTTGTGGGGACATTTATTAATTGAAACAGGTTAAATTCATCTGCAAAATTTGTGGCCACGGCCGGCGGGTTTAGCCAATTCCAATTTAGATCACCCACTAAAACTATTTCACCTTTAGGGAGGCCCCCAAGAAGCTCTCTCAGTGCAGATGCAGCTTCAACATCCTTCCTACTAGGCGGTCTATAGCAGCACACTACCAATATGTGTTGATTATTAGGGAGAGTTATTCTGAGAGCCAGACCTTCAAAGCAACATTTTTTAAACAAGGAGTGAGCTGGTGAACATGCAATAGTATTACGAACATAGATGGCAATTCCACCTCCTTTAGATCCTCGGTCAAGCCGAAAAAGATTGTAGTTGTCAATCGTAATCTTCAAGTCATTGACGGCAGGAGTAAGAAATGTTTCTGTTAGGAAAAATATGTCCAGGTCAAGATTTGCTACTTCTAGTTTTAGTTGACTTAATTTAATCAAAAGCCCTCTGATGTTGACATGTAGAACACCAACACCTTTTCTGCCAGAAAAATCTACAGAATTATATGAGTTCTTTACATTTGGTCCAGGATGAAGCTCAATACCACCCAGAAATAAGAAAAGTAGAATTAATAGTTTGCACAGGTATTTTCTGTGAAAGGATGAAGAGCGACGAACCTTGGACGAATAGCAGCAGCTCGCAGATGGTGTTATTTTTAAGAGCAGAATGAAGTTTGGAAGGAGTGCTGGTGAAGTAATGGGACAAAGATAGGGTTTAAAAGGATATAATGATGGAGTGTAGAAGTGTCTATAAGTTGTTTCATTAGCAGGTGTAGTTGCAAATTTAGCAATAAGTATTGACGCGAAGTAACGCGGGTAGCCGTTTGTAGAGTTGAGTGTGGCACTAGATATGGCCGGGAGGGACAGTAGTAAGATACACAGCAGGTGAATTGACATCTTTAAAACACTAAATTTAAACACACACACAGCTCACTCACACGCAGCTCACCCTCACCCACTCTCAGGCACAGCCCACACCCATGCAGCACAACGCACACGCGGCCGCCATCTTGCTGCTGTTGTTGTTGCAGCTGCTGTTGTTGTTGTAGCTGCTGTTGTTGTTGCAGCTGCTGTTGTTGTTGCAGCTGCTGCTGTTGTTGCTGCAGCTGCTGCTGTTGTTGCTGCAGCTGCTGCTGTTGTTGCTGCTGTTGCTGCAGCTGCTGCTGTTGTTGCTGCAGCTGCTGCTGTTGCTGCAGCTGCTGCTGTTGCAGCTGCTGCTGTTGCTGCTGCTGCTGTTGTTGCTGCAGCTGCTGTTGTTGTTGTTGTAGCTGCTGTTGTTGTTGTAGCTGCTGTAGCAGCTGCAGCCGACCCAACTGCAGTTGCAGGAGTCATACACGAAGCAGCCGCAGCTGTGTGTACTACAGCAGAGCAGCAGCGGCCGTGCGGCCTGGAGGCGCCGAGGCTGAATAGTTGCGTGATGTGGACGTGGAGAGACGAGATGTTTGGCCCATCAGCTTCATTGTTCTGCTTCCATTGACGAGCGCCCTCCACGTAGGCCTCGACGTAGGCCCCCACGTAGGCCCCCACGTGGGCCCCGACGTAGGCCTCGAAGTAGGCCTCGACGTAGGCCCCGACATAGGCCTCTATGTAGGCCCCCGTGGGCTCCGACGTAGGCCTTGACGTAGGCCTCTATGTAGGCCTCCACGTAGGCCTCGACGTAGGCCCCGACGTAGGCCTCGAAGTAGGCCTCGATGTAAGCCTCTATGTAAGCCTCCACGGATGCCTCGACTGTAGGCCCCGACGTAGGCCTCAAAGTAGGCCTCGATGTAAGCCCCCACGTAGGCCTCAACGTAGACCTCGACGTAAGCCCCCACGTAGGCCTCGACGTAAGCCCCCACGTAGGCCCCGACGTAGGCCTCGAAGTAGGCCTCGACGTAAGCCCCCACGTAGGCCCCGACGTAGGCCCCGACGTAGGCCTCGAAGTAGGCCTCGATGTAAGCCCCCACTGTAGGCCTCAACGTAGGCCTCGACATAAGCCCCCACGTAGGCCTCGACGTAAGCCCCACGTAGGCCTCGACGTGAAGAACTGGTCCGTTGATAAGACAGTCTATTGAGCACTGGTGCGATGTTGTTTTCTTCAGTGCACCGAACACTTAAGGACACAGCTCACCTTATTTTGCTCAGTCCTAAAGACAATTTGACGATGTTATGAAACCAGTGGCAAAGGCACTGAATGATGTATGCCGAATGTAGTGGTAAAGCACAGTCGGCGATAACACGCGAGATGCGTATGCAGTCCGAACAAAGACCGAGGCGTGTGGGTGGCATCTAGAAGCATCCAGCAGCATCCCGTCTTGTGCGTTGCTACTCCCGAGGCAGCCGTGCATCCGCTTATTGCTACTGGCGCGACGTAGTACTGTTCACTCAATTGCGTTGTATCCAAATCGCATCGTGAAAACACGCGTTATAGGTAGAACATGGGGCACTGGATGCGGTGTGCCGGGTGGAATTTAGCCCAGGGTACCGCCCCTCCGCAGGTTGCACCTGGCCGAGAGGGAGCAGGCGGAGCAGAGAGCCGTGGCGATGGACAAGCGGCTGGAAGATGCCGTGGACAAGCTGTCCAGGGGGCTCAACGTGGACGCGCGCGCGGAGGAATACCCCATCGACCTGCTGGCCTCCCGGGTGCGTGCGGCTACGCGCCCCTCGCCCGCGCCCCCTGAAGCGCACCGTGCGAATGTGTTTTGTGTGTGTGAGCGCGGGCCTCTCTTGGGTTGACTCGGCCTTAAATGGGTGCCTGGCACGATGTGCAAACGTCGTCAGCAGCCGCGAGAAGAAGGCTGGCCAGGTGTGTTGCTCCCGACAACAACCCCCTCGTGTGCTCCGACAGCCTTTCATAGCTGCTCGCGATACAGCACTTGCCCCAGAAGTTGATATTGCTATACGGGGAATCTTTACCCCTTGTATGTGTACACACGTGAATGTGCGTGTGCACGTGCGTCTGTGGTTGAGCGGTAGTGTCATGGTTAACGCTCTGCGTGATGACCCCGGCGGCCCGAGTTCAATCCCGACTCGCGACCAATAATAGTGACAAATATTTGAACTGATCCTGGGCCTCCCCTAGGTCGACTCAGCCTCAAATGAGTACCTGGTGCAGTGCGTAAACATCGCCGCTGGGGAGACAAAGGTGGTCGGGCGTGGTGCTTGCCCCCCACCCCCTCGTGTGCCGGCCTTCAAAGGTGCTCGCTAACAGCACTTGCCCCAACAGTATGTTAAGGCTATACAGGGCATGTTTGTATTTTGTGTTTATGGCACCAGCCGCCCGATTGCTCATCATTATTTTTTAGCATCAAAAGTTGCGCGTTTGGACGCTTCAAAGGATGAGCCCGTGCCCTGGAGGAATTCTCGTTAAAAAAAAATGAAACGCAGGGACCTGGCAGAGCTGTCAGAAGCCGGGATAGTTAACCGTCAGATTATCCGCAATGAACATGTGTTAGAAATATATAACACCGAGTCTGATTAGCTCGAACGTAAGCGGCAGATTATGTGCGCTATTCCGTTCGCGGAGCAGATGTTATTGCGGCTCTTTATGAAGCCGGGCTTATCTCTCGAGAATCCGTTACGTGATTAGAACATTGCGTTTTAAGTGGTAAGTGTGCAATAAGGTAAGTAATTAAATGTTTAGACGGCCTGGACAGCGAGTTAGGGACGCGTGCCCCCTAATGCGCTAAGCAGCCTATTACGCCTTGCTTCAATAATTACAGCAACAACAAAACTTTCCTCGTGCTTAAAACGAATTCCACCGTGGGTCCACTGAACGTTGTCGGGTGAAACAGGAGGTGCGTTGCGCGTTGCCTGCTGATGACCGAGAGTAGACGCAACATCACAGCGCTGTGGTTTTGACGCGTCTCCGAGTGGCGTCCCGCAGTGCGGCAGGGCTTGTGGCCAGTGCTCGTCCAACTGGTGAAGACCGCTTGTGTTGCGATCAAAACGTCGTGGGTCTTTTGCTTTAAATTTAGATTTTAGTTTTCTATCTACGTGACTTTACCGAAAGAACCAAGAATATGGTGCCAGTCATCCTTGTGCCTCATAGCAAGAAGGACCTGGCTTCGATTCCTTATTTTGAGTGGAGTTCGCATGCGTTCATATGTTCTCCCCCCCTCCTCCCCCACCCCGTTCATGTGCTACGACCCGAGATAGATTCCCACTCACTGCCAACACCAGTGACGGTTATCTGAACCGGTCCTGGGTCTCCCCTAGGTCGACTCAACCTTAAATGAGTACCTGGTGCAGTGTGTAAACATTGCTGGCCACCCACCCCCTCGTGTGCCGTGCCGGCCTTCATAGGTGCTCGCTAACAGCACTTGCCCCTGCAGTGCAAGGCTTGGCTTTGCATGCGTGTGTGGAGTTTGTATGTTCTCCGCCTGTTTTGCTTGGGTTTCCTTCGGGTGCTCTGATTTCCTCCCATCGTAAAAAAAAAACCCACCACACAACAATGCACATGTTTAGACAGCCTGGACGTGCGCACGCGTGTCAATGTGCGTGTGCACGTGCGTTTGCGGTTGAGCGGTAGTGTAGTCCTCAACGCTGCACATGATGACGCTTGACTCGCGACCAATAACAGTGACGAATATTTGAACTGAAATCCCAAAGCTGAAAAATGTAAATTATCAATTACAATTAAGTGACTCGCAATAAATTATTTGCCAGTCATACATTTCTTTCTCTCTTCCCCTCTTCCCCGTAAATATTTTGTCTTCGTCCATCTGTTACATCCGTGACTCTCCTCCCCTCCCCGCGGTCACGTGCCGTGGGGGCATAACAGCTGTCAGGCCGACGATATTTTTTTCGCGTCATCCAAGTGGGCCCTGCGCCTTGCGTTGGTTTGTTCACTTACATTTTTTTTGTAAAAAATATTACTTTACGCCACAGGCCACCGAGCTCTTCCAGGAGTGCGTGCTCCAGCGGGCCAAGATCGCGAGCTTCGAGGGCGCCTTGGCCTCGCAGGAGGTGGAGGCGAAGGCGAGTCGCGAGACCATCATGCGCCTCGTGTCAGAGGTCGGCCGCGAGCAGAAGGTCGCCAGCTCGCAGGGCCAGGAAGCCGAAGCCCTCCGGAAGGTAAGGGAGGCGGGGGGGGGGTACGTGCGAGGGAATTCTGCGGGAGGGCACGTGGCAATTTTTGCCGAAGCGGTAAATCTCAATTTGGGTCGCTCGCGGTTCGAGTCCCGGCGGTTCGCCCCGGTCAATACGGCCGTCCTCGTGTGTTTGACCAAAAGTTCCCCCGCCGTGTGCTTTCACAGTGGTTGCCAAAGAGCCTCTGAAATCACGAGGATAAGAGTGGGCCACACGTGCCCGTGTTACGATCCAAATTGCTAAGATTAGCTAATTGGGTGAAAGTCACGCAGAAACATCGCTCCTCACCGTGAGACAACTGTGATACATAGAGCGCTTTGATGGTAGCCTCGAGCTATACGAATGGCGTGAACACCAAATGTACCAACGATGATGATAATGCGCACGCATTTTGCTGCACTAACCTTGCAAGATATCCAAATGTATCCGCATGTGATTCTATCAGCTCTTAAGAAGACACATTGATGGAATGATCACTGAGCCAGTGGTGGAAATTCCTTGTTAACCATAAGGCACAACCGCTGTTGACTTCCTCACAAAGTGATACCTATTTTATTGACCCCAGAAGAATGATGGGCTGAGTCAAGAACCAACCAGGATTTGAACTCGGAACCTTTCAGATTGCGAGCCGCTGGCTCTACCGCGGAGCTACTTGGCCGGATATACATCATTCCCTCGTTGTTCGAGAGAAATACGTGCCGGAGATGCTCGTGAACAGCAAATGTCACGGATAATGATATTAAACCTACGAATATCACACCGGCAACGTCTCTGTGAGTCATGGTCGTGGCATCACTGGCGCTGTTCAGTGGGAAGCGAGTAAATTATAGGAGCCGGCAGAACGCGCTAAATGCAAACTCCGATTGCGCCATTATAAACGTAACGCTGATGACATATATCTTTAAAAAACGAGGATGAGAACGTAATTTACAGGGCATATCTCACTGCATGTCATGTATGGTCTTGGATGGATTCTGAACAACGGTGGTGGTGGTGATGGTGACAATAATGATGCTGATGACTACAATAATGATACTAATGCTGAACATGATGATGAGGAAGAGGAGGATGGTGATGATCGCAATCATGATAACGAGGACGATGATGATAACCATACTGAATTTATAAGTTATAACAGTGCTGATAACAATGACGGTGATGATAATGAGTGGGAAGTAGCAAAAAGGAGGAACCATACTCTCCGACGGCCTGTATGTATGTATGTTGAACCTCTTTCGCACCATATATAGCTAATCATAGCCACGGGGGAAGGACAACAAACGAAACACAAAAAATCCGTTCTACAGCAATGAGTTTTCAATCTGACACGACCCAACGGACCGCTCCCTCCGCAGGAGCGCGAGTCGGCGTTGCAGGCGCGGCGCTCCCTCGAGCGGGAGGTGGAGGTCCTCCGCGAGCGGCTGGAGGCTGGGCAACGTGCGTGGGACGCGGCGCGGCGCGAGCTGGCACAGTGGGAGCACCGGCGCGCCGAGCTGGACGGCGGCCTGCGCTCCAGCGAGCACGAGGCGCGCGCCGCCCACGCGGCGCTGCACGCGTTCCGCTCGCAGCTCGCCGCGATCCTCTCCGACGGCGACGACGGCGGCGGCCGCGACCGCCGTCCGGCCGCGGGCGCCGGCGGCGGCGGCGGCGGCGAGGAGGACGTCAAGGAGCGCGTGCGGCAGCTGGTGGTCGCCCAGCAGCAGGGCAAGGCGGTGAGCAGCGCGCCCGGCCGCTGGCGACCGGCGCTTACACCCGCCGGTGAAATGAACCGCGAGGTGAAAACCGGGTCACGAAAATGTCAGATTTTTTTTTTTCCCGAACGAAGTCCAGAGGTTAAACGATCGCCTTTGATTTGACCCTGAACCCCAACCCTGAACTAATTCATTAAATAGTTATCCACCTTGATCTAAGCCTGAAACTTGAACCCTAAACTTAAACCCTGAGGATAAACCCATACTCTTGATCTAAACTCTCTGAACCACAACCATAAATTAATTCCATAATCGTGACTCTAAATGAAACCACTAACGTTGATATCGAACCACAACCCGCCTGTGCGGAATCTCGGAGGTAACTTCACAGTATCCACTTCCGTGGGCCGCTCTCTCACACAGAGAGTTGAATTACTTTGCCAGAGTTCCAAATCGATCATCTCTCCCACGACGCGACGGCGATGGGGCGATCGGTGCTAAACGCCAACCCTGAACCAGCGCCCTCGCCAGGGCGGAGTGGACAAAGCGAGCGGGGTGGTGGCACGTGCAGTCGGTTTGTCTGAAAAGAAGGAAGCAGTGGCGTCAGGTGGGGGAAAGCCCACTGAGCTATATAGCTCTTTTCCAGAAACGACCTGGACACAAATGATCGCTCAACTAAGTGGTTTATGTGGAATTTATAGCAGACAAATAAGCTCATGTTGGTTCTAAATGTGGAGGGAAAAATCAACGTGACCACGGGGAGAGAGGACATGCAAACTCCAAATAAATAGGCTACAGGGTCGGGATCTAACCTATGACCTCCTGCATACCAGACGAGGGAGTTAACATCTTGGGACCAGGGCTTCATTTCAGCTAGGTCCGTCTGGATTAACGACACCCAAAACACGACTCGTTGACAATGTAGGGCCCGTCAGAGGTTTTGTGACGCGCTGCATTGGTGGAGCGATCGCTCCGTTTTACCCTGGCTCTCCGTGCCCGCGCAGCTGTGTGTACGTGTGTTGAACTTCTCTAGCACTGCATGTAGGCAACCATGCTAAATCAGTGGTGCGGGGGAAGGCCAACAAATTAAACACAAATAGCAGTTTTAAAAACCTACGTTTTCAATCTAGATTTAAAAGTGCATAGCTCCAGTGTCTTCCTAATATCGTACGGAAGAGCGTTCCGTACGGCCGCAGAAGCGCATTCCGAAAGCGCGCGATGCCGTAATGACCGTCTTTGTTCGATGGCCGGCTGTGAAGAGTGACCGGAGTTCGCGTGACGGCTTCTGCTCCTTGACGAGATCAGCTGACGGCGGAGCTGGAGGAGCGTGTGTCGCGCCTCACCGCCCAGCTGCACCGCGAGGCCGAGCAGAGCCGCGACGGGGCCCGGCGGGTGCGGCGGGCCGAGGAGCGCGCCCAGGAGATGGCCGAGCGGCTGCGTGCCGTCGAGGGGGAGCTCGCCACGGGCGACGTGCTTCGCGACGGCCTCTCCTTCGACCGCCAGAAGGTAGGCCGCGCTGGTCGGGAACGCCCCGCTCGGGGCTTTGCCACCTGTCTGTCCCTCGTTTTCACCGCGGGTCCCTCGTCTGCCTCCTGCTGAGGCGGCCGCGCTGAGTAGATGGTCGATCGTCGGAGGTGGAATTTAGCCACGTTAAGTGCGGAAGACAATTGAACGTGATGGCGGGGCTTTTTTTCGTGTGTGTGCGTGCGTGGTCATTGGTGACTGGGCTGAGACCATGAACTGTACTGCACCTGAGAACTAGATGTAATCAAAGCAAGGATCACTGCTATGCACTGGCATTGGTCTAGGGCAACCAAAATAATAAGAAGAGACATTTTTTGTTCGAATTCGGTAAAAAAAACCCTCAATGTTTCAAGAGCCGCAATGCATGCAAATAGGAGACGTCGGTCCTGAATAAATAACGTCAGAAGCAGTCCTCAAAGAGTCGCATGCAGCTCCGGGAGCCGCAGCTTGCCGAGCCCTGGTCTCGGGTTGCCAGCAGTCCTGGTTTTACCAGCATCAGTCGCTTTTTTAGGTAGCTGCTCTGTAACTCATCCCTGGACGTTTTGTCAGCTGCGTAATAATAAGCAATAGTTACACCCCACTGGGGACAATGCTTTTTACACATCGTTCCCCCCTCTTCTCCCGGTATTTTGAGATATTCTTGTTCCCATGATATGTCCTACGTTTGTGTACCCTAGAGGAAAGTACAGAGTCCTGCATGTGTGTATGTACGGCCCTTTTGTCGGCCTCAAATCAGGCCAACAGTTTTGAAAGTTTTAAATGTTACAAAAAATAAATAACAAAAGAAATAGACATTCATAATAAAGGTTTTTAGGTCAGATCACGTGATTATAAATGTGTCGCAACCCTCCACCACCCGACATGGCCAATCGGTAAAAAGTGTGTGCCATCTGTCCAATACAGCATTTACCGCATAAGCAAATCATCCGATATACACCTTCTGTTCATAACTTTGGTATTTCATCTTTAGTACAAGACACTAGAGAATTATAATTGTGTGTACCGTACCAAATCTTACTTTAATGTTTTGCTTTTGCTAAACACGGGCTAATTTGTCAGTTACTCCTGAGATTTATGGTATTTTTATTGTTTTGATAATTATCAAGCCCTACATCTTAATTTATAAGAAATTCAGAACATCTTGTGAATGTGATTATAGATATTAAACTTAACCCCAATTATATTTTGGTGAGTTTTGATGTGAATTCTCTATTCATTAAGGCTTCAGTTAACGAGTCACTTAATTTACTTGATACACTGGTAAAGAAGACAGGTTTACCAGAAGATATTCCAAAACTAGCTGACCATTGCTAAATAACACTTACTTCTTATGGAGAGGTGACTCTTTAAACAAAGGAAGCAGTAATGGGCTCTCCTTTATCTCCTGCTATAGCAAATCTGTACATGGAAAACTTTGAAACAAGAGCACTTGCCTCAAGTACATTAAAACCATATTTTTGGTTTATATATGTCGATGACACTTTGGATGTCTGACAACATGGTAAAGATACACTTAATGAATTTTTAAATCATCTCAATGCACAAAACCCGGCCATCCAGTTCACCATGGAAATGAAGGTGAACAACACACTCCCCTTCCTAGATATTTTTCTTGGATGCGGTCAAAATGGCAAAATACCACACAGCGTCTACCGAAAGGGAATGCACAATGATGCCTATCTGAATGTAGATTCGCATCATCACCCAGCACAGAAATCCTCTCTCATCAAGACGCTCATACATCGGGCAAAAACAGTGTCAGATGGTGAAAGTCTAAGGAGAGAGATTAAACCCTGTTAAAGAAGCACTACGACTGAATGGCTACAATAATGCTCAAATTAACAGAGCATTGAATGCCAAACCGAGACCGAACAACAATACTGCTGAAATTGATCAGATTATCAAAATAATTAAAATACCATATATCTCAGGAATAATTGACGAATTAGCCCGTGTTTTACAAAAGCAAAACATTAAAGTAAGATTTGGTACGGTACACAAAATTAATAAACTAGTGTCTTGTGCTAAAAATGAATTACCGAATTTATGAACAGAAGGTGTATATCGGATCAATTGCTTATGCGGTAAATGCTATATTGGTCAGATGGGACATAACATTAGCGTAAGACTAAAATAACACCAAAGGAACATTTAATCATCTCAAACAGAACTGTCAGCAGTGGCAAAACATGCTTGTCAACAAGGGCACTCAGTTGATTTTGATAAGGTGGAAGTGTTATGCAAAACTAATTATTACTGGCCAAGACTAATTAGAGAATCCATCGAAATTGAGAAAAATACAAATAATTTTAACAGCTCTGTTAGCTATAGACTTAGCGCAGCCTGGAAGCGTATTATTAAGTAATACACAATACATATTACAATTCCTTATAGAGGAATCAGATACTAATTAACTGATTACTAATCTATTATATAACTACAATACCCCCCCCCCCCCACTTCCGCCTCTGATTTCGAAACCTAATGGGGTTCAACAATGATGACGTCATCCTGCTCTGTTTAAGAGTGGAAGCAGGTGGATGGCTTCACGTCGAACAACTCAAATTCTAAATGTTGTGGATTCACTCTTCAAACACACCGGTGGGCTGAAGAAGTAACTAATTGGCGTTTTGTTAACGCGACACATTTTTTACTGATTGGCCGTGTCGGGTGGTGGAGGGTCGCGACACATTTATAATAATGCGATCTAACCCAAAAACCTTATTTATGAATACAGTAATACTGGTCGAGAAAGCGTACGTGTTAGAAATAGACGTACTATTGCCATTTATTTATACAGTAAACCCTTAATGAGTCTCAACACTCCTATTCAGGAGTATCCTGCATTGGAATGTCGGCCCATTTACATTCGTGGTTGTGTGGCATGTGGTAAGAACAAAGAGAACCCGGAGAAAACCCACACATACAAGGGGACAGCACTCGAAGCCCCGCGACCCACGGGTTAAGAACCGCTGGCTACTGCTGGGAAGGCCATCCTGGCAAACTGGAAAGATCATGAACCTCTTCTTGGTTCTTTCGGTAAAGTCACGTAGAAGGGAAGTAATAAAATAATAAAAATAAAACATAATAAAATAATTCTCACGACGTTTCGGCCACAACGCAAGCAGCCGTCACTGAGGACGGCTGCTTGCGTTGTGTCCCTTCTACGTGACTTTACCGAAAAAACCAAGAAGATGAATCCCTGCAGTCACGAAAGCTTTAAATCTAAATGATGAACCTTCCTCCTGGAAGCAGCGGCGTAACACCCCGTTAGCCCTCGCAGGAACGGAGCATTCAAGCCGTAAGCTCATGGGTAGAGAGCGGCCAGTTCGAGGCCAGATGGTTCCCCATTCTTACTGAATCCGGCGTGAAAGTGCGCACGATGGGAGGTCGGGGGGATGGGGTCTGGCGTTCGAGGTATCGCCCCACGGATAGACATGAGGTAACCACTGCTCTACGGGATTCATATCGATGATAAGTTCACCTGGTGCGTGTCGGTTATGTTATTTCATAGACCTTGTTTTTGTAAACTTACCCCCCTTGCCCCCCTGTGGCCGGCATGGTCAGTAGGTGGCGAGGGAGCGCGTGAAACTGTGTCTGGATACCATTATAGCAATATAATGTTCAATTTGTTTCCAGTATTGTATTTTTTCCATGGAACAGGGCCCCATAGTTTAGATGGAGTTCTCTTGCCAATAACATCTTGTAACCCAGAAGCGGTTGCTTAACAACAGTTGAAACTGGTCCAGACTTTGCTTGCTCGAGCAAATGCTGCTGGATAATATTTATTTGGAAAGCAAATCGGTCGACGGTATACTTGCTGTGAACAGATATCAACATGCCATTTTGTGCGGGATTTGTAGAGGCCTCACAGAGACTGCCTGGTGCATTCAACAAAACAAAAAAACCCATGCACACACACTTTTCTACCCTGCAAAATCAACAAGAATTGAAAACGTTGCTGCTTGTAGTTACACAGTCTTTGGGGTCCCCATTCAGCTCGATTTATCAACACGCAAAGGCAGGGTGTGCGACCTTTTTCCATGAACCAAACCCGGACGTATTTCTCAGTCAGACTGGGTTCATCGATATTCTCCGGAATGTTCCTTGGCCTGGCCTGGAGGAATGATTGTCGGCGTAAGGTACTACCACTAGAGTACAAGGCACGCCAATCCATAAAAATCCTGTATTTCGTGTAGCCTATGTGCCTACACACCGCTGCAAAAATAAGACGAGATGGAAGTGGCGTCCCAAACTAGTTCCTGCACCATTCCGGCTGAAACCCCAAAGTTGTTCTCACCCAAGTCACGCACACTGCACGTGAGTTGCTAATAATCGGCGCCGTGCTGTCTGCTCCCCTATCCAATGCAAGCACAACCTTTACGCCAACTTTTTCTACTTCTCAGTAAGCAGCTCGAGACAACCCCTGCTCTGTCAAGTACTCCTCCCCGTTCGGCTTGTGGCATCACGGCCCCTTCCTTGAGCCACTGTTCATGATGACAGCACCGTGTTGAGGAGCTAAATGCCAATATTGACATCTGATGGCCACCACGGGCTTCAGGAGAGAGTTTGTGGAGTTTTGCTATTCCTCCTCCGTTGCAGCAGTGCAGACTACAGTGATTCATCTTCTTGGTTCTTTCGGTAAAGTCACGTAGAATAAAATAATAAAAATAAAACATTAAATAATTCTCACGACGTTTCGGCCACAACGCAAGCATCGAAAATCAGACTACAGTGGTTTACTACATGGCCCAGTAGCTTGGGTTTCATGGCCACATTCTAGATTTGAAGTTTTCGTGACTGCAAGGATTCATACTCTTTGGTTTTTTCGGTAAAGTCACGTAGGTAAAAAATAAACAAATAAATGAAAAACAACTAAATTAAATCACGACGTTTCGGAGGCAACACAAGCTTCCGTCTTCAGGTGGAACCGTTACAGTCAAATTCACTGTAATAAGTGAAGAGAGCTAATATAGAAACGC